ATTAGAGTAAACCTGCGTCTTGGTCTCTGCGGGCAATGGTTTGGAGAAAAAAAAAGAGGCCAAGAGGTGGTTTAAAACACACACCCAATGCCAAGGGCGTGGGGAGGGCAGAGGGGCAGTGTTTTCCTCCTGCTCACCACTCTCCTGTCACTGATTTTACCCCCCTGTGGCGCACAGGCCCCGCGGGAGCTGTGGGCCATGAGGGGTGAAGTCAGTGACAACCTCCCCAGGGAGGCTGGTGACAGCCCCGCAGCTGGATGCAGACGTGCATGTGCTCACACTGACCGTGCCCACAGAGAAAATCCTAATTTTTCTGCCAATTTGCTGCCAGAAGTGAGCGGGGAAAATGCCACAGGAGCTGTTGGGGGACCTAGAGGCAGCACCCGGTTATCTGTGCTGCCGCTCCTCCTCTGAGCAGAGCCGTGATGAAATGGCCTCCCTTGTGCTGCTTGGGCGCTGCCTTTATTTTCTTCATCCAAATAAAAAGGCTGTTTAGAAACCCAGCCTGTGCCGGAGCATGAGCATCACCCTCCTGTCCACCCCTGGCTCATCCCCACTGAGCTCCTGTTCGCATGTGAGGATGAGTTTCGTGGTTTCACAGCCATGGGGTTTGGGTTTTGCTGGTGGGATCTGTCCCTCTTGCAAGGGGGTTGCTTCCTTAAGGCACCCATCACCGGACCCGCTGGTGCAAATTCCCGCGCCTGCCCCCGGATCTCTTAGCAGCCACGATGCTCCTGCATCCCCCTCCGGCGATTCGCGCTCCTCAAACCTACCGCAAATATTGTGAAACCCATCCCCAACGGCTGCGGTGAAACCAGAAGTTCTGTCGGGGCGGGGGGAGAAGGGGAAGCACGTTGGGTTTTGCAACCGGCGAAGGCGTGGGGAGAGCTGGTGGCTCCTGCCCCGTGGTGGCCGAGGGGACCCCATCGCCCAGCTGGGAACAGTGTAAGAGCTTTCTCCAGTTCGGGAGCACCTCCCTCCTCATCTACAGGAGGGTTTTAACTTTACGATCTCCTTGGAGACAGTTAAGCAAGTTTCGGGTGTTTTCCGGTGCTAAAGCCAAGGGGCCTGGGAGCTGAAGATGCACGGGGACGTCTGCGAGTTAATATTTTTTCCTGCCCTTCTTCTGCTTCCTCGCAGCCCGGCTGAAGCTAATCCCGAGCGCGATCTGAGACCGTTTGGCCGCAGTTATTTCCGGTTTTATTTTGTTGCCTTTTTCCTGTTTCGCTAAAAGACGAGCCAGAATTAATTTGCTCCTAATCTGGGAAAGCAGCCGACGGGGCTGACCTCTGCCGCATCCTTCCCTTCCCCGAGCCCGGCCGGGGTGCGGTGACCGTCCCGCTGGGCTCGGGGCTTTCTGCAGAGTTTCCCCGTTCTTCCTGAAGAGCTGCCGGCTTTGGCAAACCTGCCCCAGCCCGTTTGCTTGGCTGCCTACGCCCCAGCCCGGCTTCCAGCTCGGCCATGTGGGTTGTGTTTGTACACAGATGAGTAATACGGGGCGGCCAGAGCCAGCGCCGGCGATAACGCAG